CTGAACCCACCGGCGCCCCCGGCCGCTCTCCGAGCTCTCCCAGCAGGAAAACGGGGCCTCCTCCCTCTTCCCGAGCTGATCCTGGCGGTTCGGCCTCGCCGAGCAGGAAAGGGCACCGGGCACTTGGAGAAAGGGCATGGAGCCTCCTGGAAGGGACATTCCCGCTGGAGAAGGGAAAAGTTTCACTGCCTATCGCTAATTCTGGGTAGACACTCGAGATGCTCCCGCCAGGCGCCTCCCAACAACCGTTTTCTCCTGTTATTAGCTGCTTCTCGCCTGCTCTGCACCAAACCAGACGGGATTTATATTCAGCTGGAAGAGAAAAAGGGAAAATTGGGACAACACTGAAACGAAACCATCCCCTGTGTGTGCCCTGTGCCACAACAGGGCACGTCGGCCTCACATCCCGACCTCCCTGCATCCCAACAGGACCTGAGCATCTCGCTAAAATCTCAGTTCATTCTGGACCGACATTCCCAACTTTGCTGATCCGTCACCTCCCAGCAGCTCCCGCTGCTCTTTGTGGGCGCCAGGGAAACACGAGTTTCCCTTTGTCTCCTTTGCTGGATCCTAGCGCAGCTTCCAAGGATGAGCCAGGGTGGATGAGGAGCGAGGCCTTGCCCTTCTCCGATGGGAAAACCTGCCGCCCGCACGCTGCTCCTACGGATGGCACTGGAAGCAAGGAGAGGGCAGGAAAGCTGCACCTGGGAGAGCCCTCGGGAAAACAGAGCAGCCACCTTCCTTCAGAAAGGAAGGCAAAATCCTCTTCTCTTCCAAGGGGAGCAGCGAGGGGCCGTGCCGAGCGCTTGGACACCCCCTGCTCCATACGGGGAGCGTTCGGAAGCGGAGGGTCGGACTCGACGGCATCGTCGCGTACCCGGACATCAAAGACAGGGATAAAGGATCCGGCCTAAGTGCAGCCGTTCCTTTGTTAACGTGAATTCCAGGAAGAGCCCGGCATTCCGAGGGGACGCGGGCGGCTCCCGCGGGAGCGGCGGGAGCCGGCGTCCAGGTCGCGTCGTCCCTTCCGAGCAGGAAAACACGGATTCCTGGGAAACCCACCCGGAGCAACGAGGAGGAGCACTGCGGGAATGACAGCAGCAACATCTGGCACTGGGAATTCGAGCGCCCCTGTGTAAAACCACCCAAAACCACCCAAAACCACGAGCGCGGCCCTGTGCTGAGACACGTTCGGAACGCGGCCCCGCTCCGCTGGAAAGTGAGGAAAATCGGGGGAGAAGGGAAAAAACCCTCCAGCAAGAGCGGCGCTTCCTTCCTCGCTGGATTTGCGTCGAGGCTGGATAATTGTTGGCCGTTTTTCTGCCCGTTTTAGCACGAAGGTGGCAAGACTGCGTTAAATAGAGCTAGTCCTGTAAAGCCAAGACAAATTTGGGCAAGAAAACGGTTCGGAAATGACCCTGGCTGCAGCCTGAAGAAAGCCTGGGCAGAAAGGAACACGGCCTGGCTTCTAGGGTGAATTAGGAAGCTTTTTTTCTCAATTTAAAAATGCTCTTTAAAGCTTTAATCATGCAAATTTGATCCTGCCTGAAAGACGGAATTTCATTATGGAGACGTGCTTAATTTTTTTTTTTTTTGAGCAGAAGAGCAAGCTAATTAGTGACACTATCACGATTTTATTAATAGCCCGTTAACGGGAGATAGGAAGAGTCCAGGGAATGGCCTGTTTATCCCCCCGGTGCAGCCCCAGCTGCCGAGCGCGGCCCCTTCCCGGACCAGGAACCGTCGCGGGAAGCGACGGGATTGCAGGGCAGAGGGATGGAGAGCGCAAGAGGGAGCGGGAACCTCTATTTTTTACTATGAATTATTATTTTTATAGTCACCCGCTCACGCGCTGCAGCTCCGTGTCACCCGCTCACACCTCCGTGTCACCCCGCTCAGAGGCTGCAGCTCCCATGTCACCCCGCAGCTCTGTGTCACCCCGTTACGGGCGGCAGCTCCAGCAGTGATCCAGGTTCGGTGCCCTCCTTTCATGCCCAATGGGCAGTGGTGATTGTGGGACAGACACAACTTTTGGGCAGAATGGAAGGAAACAGAGCCAAAGTGTTATGGCCTGTTTATCCCCCCGGTGCAGCCCCAGCTGCCGAGCGCGGCCCCTTCCCGGACCAGGAACCGCGGCGGGAAGCGACGGGATTGCAGGGCAGAGGGATGGAGAGCGCAAGAGGGAGCGGAAACCTCTATTTTTTACTATGAATTATTATTTTTATAATCACCCGCTCACACACTGCAGCTCCGTGTCACCCTGCTCAGAGGCTGCAGCTCCCGTGTCACCCTGTAGCTTCGTGTCACTCCGTTACGGGCAGCAGCTCCGTGTCACCCCGTGGCTCCGTGTCACCCTGCAGCTCTGTGTCACCCCCGCACAGGCAGCAGCTTCGTGTCACCCTGTAGCTCCATGTCACCCCCTCAC